TTTTTAGAATCATATTTATTACCTGCTCGGACAAATATACATCTTAATATCTACGGAGTTCACAGAGATCCCAATTTTTGGCCAAATCCAGAGATATTTGATCCAGATCGATTTTTGCCTGAGAAGATCCAAAATCGTCATCCTTACTCGTATATACCATTTAGCGCTGGACCACGTAACTGCATCGGTAAGCTGAACTTTTTCTCATGTGAATTATTGTTTTTATATGAATAATTGTGCGATGTACATCAAATTTATATAGGCCAACGATTCGCTCTGCTAGAAATGAAAGCGATGGTAGCCCCTCTGGTACACAATTTCTATTTGGAACCCGTTGATTATTTAAAGAATCTTCGATTGCAAGTTGATTTAATACTTCGTCCTGCTCATCCACTTTGTGTAAAATTTGTACCTGTCTGCAAAATAAATGCAAGTATACGTGAAATAAATCCAAATTAAACGAATATCGTAAAGGCAAAAAATGTTATAAAAATTAGAAAAATATGATATGCTTATAACTATATATATGTATACTGTATAAATATAATATATGCATATTATATGTATTATAATATATAAAATTTGTTTATATCGCTATAATATATATATTAATATAAAACATTTAAAATGTATATTATTTAACTTATTGAAAAAAAATTATGTAAAAATATTATTATGGTCAGAATTGTATTCTATGTAGTAAATTCTGTTTATTAAATATATGTGCACTAGATGTATGTATATACGAATTAAATCCACACAGTAGAATTGTCCAAAATATATCATAGCCCGGGAATAAATTTTTCATATAAGAACATATATAAATATACATATATAAACATATATAAAAATTTATAATTATATATAAATATATATAAATATATAATTAAATGCGAAATATTTTCATATAACATATCCATATATGTTTCTTTTCTTTGTAAAATTATTTTTTGATAGAAAAATGATAATAATAAAAAGAAAACAAAAAATAATTAAAAGAATAATTTTTGCATTATTTTTTCTTACAAAAAATCAAGTTTTAAGAAATGAGAAAAAATTGTTTGTATATAATTATATATGTATGTATATTTTTAATCATTTTTATATAATTATATAAAAGCAATTTTTCTTATTTCTTCAAACTTGATTTTTTGTAAAATAAACAATGTAGACATTATTCTTTTAATTATTTTTTATGTTTCCTTCTTATTATTTCTTTATATTAACCTTCAAATGATATACTTCTTTCAAATACTCACTAATAGAACGATGGTGCGAATTTGAATATGATATTGTACACTCGCTCACTAAAAGGTTGCGACACTTTTTTTTTATAGGTTTCTAATTTATATTTAATATACGTAATATATAC